GAGAAAGAGCGAGACAGAACATATTCCCGCTGCATCTATGGCGTCTTCAGTAGGAGTCGCTAGTTGAAGAAATTCGCCCGCCGCGTCCGCATTGTAATCGTTCTTCTGTGTTTCGCCGTGTCATAAAACTATATAATTCCGCTTGAATTCCACATATTGTACTGGTGAGAAGTGTTAGTGAAGAGGTGCTGATGTTCTGTGCTATTTTGAGTGTATAAAACTTAACCGCCACGCCGACGATTTTCTCAGTACGTTTCACTGAACGTTACGAACGTACGTTTTATTACGCCCATAACAGCGTTTAAGTATTTTGGAGGAGACAGGCCAGGTAAACAGGCCTGTCACGCCTGTTGGAGTCCACCTACAGCGCCGTGATACTGAGGAAGGAGACGCCGCTTATGCTCGAGAGCCGCCATTGCGCCATATTGACCACAAGTAAGTGCAGTGCCTCTCCCCTTATATTTCCATTTATTTCGTACTTGTCACCAGCTCTTACCTCGCGAAAACCCGCTAATTTATTTATTTATTTTTCTTGACCGCGCCTTACAGTCCACCCACGTTTTTAAGGAGATTTCGATCTCCCTCCCTGCGTAGCCTGCCTAAGGCCATAAAGGGCGCCTCCACATCGTATGGTCGAACATAGTCCTTCCCGTCTTGGTGTATGATGTTGAAACGTGAATCCACGACGCAATTGAATATATACTAATTATAAATTGCTCTAATATTTCCCTGTGACTGAATGCAGAATACCGTCCGGATAAAATCTGAAGCAGAATACGCCTTCTGGATGTTGCAGTAGTAGAGTAAATCGAAAATGAAAGTGATCAGAATACATTTGCCAAAGCCTTCATGAGGATGGTTAATATTATACAAGAATGCTATATGTTAAATAAGAATATGATAACGTAAAGGAAAATCTGTTATAATAATGGGATTGAAAGTAAGGAAAGTCAGAGGTATGATTTTAAGCTCATTATTTTTTTATATTATTCTATCTTTTCATTTAATGTGAATTGGTGGTTTCGCCGAATTAAGTAAATTAACAAATAATAGATAGATAGATAACACTTTATTGCAAACACCAAATACAAAACATACAAAGAAAAAGGAACAATATTAAGTTATGTGTCACAATCGGCGGTCTTATCACTAAACAGCGATCTCTTCCAGACAACCTTTGGATGGAGAGATGAACTATCTTAAAAGTACGGGGGTGTATAATAACCTTATGATTACAATAGCTATTAAATAAATATACATTAAACAAACGTAACTTCATATAAGCGTATACATACTACACAAATAATAAAATATATATATATATATATATATATATATATATATATATATATATAAATATATTAATAATTTACAAATAACCACAAAACACCAATTTCGTATTCATTTATACTTAGTATCGGAGCGAGAGGCTCTATACTATATCGTACAACAACCGTCCGGTGGTCGTCACCCGGTCGTCGGCCGCCGGATCGGAACGTACCTTTCAAAATCCCACGTTTTTGCGACAATTTATTCGAAACGCTTTTACTTTTTGTGATGTAATTAGAACCGCGAATTTAACTGACAAATTACCTCTGACCTCTGTTCTTTTAATTGATGCAAAGTGCAATACGGAAAGGCGCGACAGCATCGTACCGGAAGATGCACCGGGCGGTCTTCCGGGACGGATACCATGAGCGGAACATGCACATAACTGGTACACTGAACTGTTTTAGAGAAAGGGCCCAGTTTGTGTTTTTTTTTTAATATATTCAGAAAATTAGCATGAAACTTCAGAAAAATTGCAACTAATGAATTATCTTTCAGAGATTTTATTAATTTTTGCAACCATGATAGGGGGGGGGAGATCGCATATTAACGCATCGCCTTCTTCTGTGACTCCCTCCCAGTCTATTGTTTGGAATAAGGCTGTTATGTGCCAAAGTCTTTCCTATTCCGCGACTTTCCTAGCCTCTGCGAGACGAGTCCTAGTGTGGATTGGGTTCGGAACCTCCTTTTAAGATTTCGGATTAATCCATCCAAGTGCGGTACAACGCATAGGATCTACCGAGTAGACCGTCCACACTTTGATCTGCCCTTCGGAGCAGGTTCCCCTTACTAAGAGACCTGATATGAAGGTTCACTTCTCCTACGTCAATAAAAAGGAGAGCAATCATTATGATGCGAGCGATAATAATGAATAATTGTCATACACATGAAAAATTAATTTATTGCTTAGCTTAGACCATAGCGACGGGGCCCCCAAAAGTGTGGGACCTGTAGAATTTGCTACTTTTGCTACGTGGATAATCCGTCACTGCTTGTCTAGACTTTAAAACACCTAAAAATGTAAAAAAAAATACAAAATATTTTTAATAACTTAAAACTTAGTTAACAAAATCAAATCTTCATTAGAAGCAGAATGAATGATACTGGAGACTGTATGTCGCTATTAATATTAACCGCAAATAAAATATTTTTTAGATATAAAAGGTCTATTTTTATAAAACGTTCATCACAATCAATTAAGATAATAAAAACCGGTCACCGAGGGTTCCGTAGATAAAAATTAAAATAAATAATAATAAAAATTAATGGCTTTCGTACTTTTTCCTTTTTTTGTGCTATACTAGAGAAGTTGCAACCGAACTTCAAGATTCTAGAGTTCACGGGATGTACCCTGTAGGTTTTAATTCCATTAAGAGTTTCGAAAATTTGCGGCAAAAACGGCTGTTTCTTTTGATTGCGTTGGCTTAGAAGTTCAATTCGTTCACAGCTCCAAGAGGCAGTAGACTCGAGTATTTGATATAAATTACAGCTTGATACCTCCACGCGTTCCTGAGAACAAGAATCTTGTCAGACAGGCGGACTGACAGCAAAGTGATCCTATAAGGATTCCGATTTCTCGTTTCGAGGTAACGTAAAAAATAAGAGTATAATTTTTATGCTTAGGAACATAAAAACTGGTAGTTTTTATGAATCTTTATGGGCCGGCAAATCGATTAAAACAAGTCATTACATAATGTAATTAAATAAAAAGAAATACAAAATTGTAATGGCAATAATACACGAATGCTTATAGCACGCAGCATACGACATCTAAACAATAATTTCATCATCATTGGATTGTTTAAATGCTAATTTATCTTAACATACTTGTCAATCTGTCCGTCTTAAAAAGATTAATTCAAAAATAGCTAATGTAATTTTATTGTCACAAATGGACGAAATAAATCTACTGTCATTTTCTAATTCAGTACCAAATGCACCGTTTCATTTAATCAACATCTAACAGATTATTTTTAAGGTTGCATACCCAAAATACATAGTTGTAGAGTAGTAAACTTGGTACGTGATCGTTATTGATAAACAACTTTCACGGGATGGGTGACCAAAAATTATTATCTCGAGCTACTTCGTGCTTCGGCAGACACGTTAAACCGTTGGTTTCGATCTGAATTTGCGGTCACTAATATCCTCCAATTCGTATAGGGCCAGTATGAAAGGTCATGGCTCATCCTTCTAAACCATCCATAAGATAGACCTAAGCCTCGGGGATATTGCGATAGTGATAGCAATTTATGAAATTATTTGAGTAAATAAATACGCAAGGAATATTGTACACAAATGTTGGCAAGCTAAATAAATAAATAAAAATTATATAATTGTTAAAGTCGCAACAGCTTTTGAAACGAATTATGAAGAATTACTAGAGCGTAAATTATAATTATATCATCAGCCATTCGACGCACGGTGTTGAGCATAGACCTCCTCCGTAGATCTCCACACCGCCGTCGATCGAGCCTGAATATATATCATAAATATAAATAGGTATTTATCATAAGCTTAGATTAACCATCCATAAGGAACACCTGAGCCCCTGCAGGACATAAAAGGGCTGATAATTATATAATTATGGTGACATTATTCGATACGCCAACACACAATCAGAGAAATGAACCACAGAAATCGCCCGCACCTTGAAGGCGGACCCCATCGACTAATGTAAATCAGTCATAGTTAGATCTGACTGGTCCATGACGATGGCCATAAACTATACTTATGGGATAGATATAAGCATTCTAGTAGTTGTATGAAACCCGATGCTACGACGCTACTTGCACTAGCTACCTATCAATGATATATGCACCTTCACCTTAAGGTACTATTCCACCAAATAACGACGCTATATAAATAATTGTATAGCTTTAATTATAATAAAAACGTAATTAGAAGAACCTGTCCTTTCTTAGCATCAGCATTTAACCAATTTACTGTTCATTGCAATAAAGTTTTAAATAAATAAATAATAAGTGTTGATGATAAATAAAAAAATACTTTTGTGATTTGAGTGCGTGTTTTGGTTTTATTTAATTGAATGTCTATGGCACAACAGCGCTGTGCTCGACGCGGATATTTGTTCAGAATATCAAAGCTGTTTGATAAATTTTCAGACCATAAACAAACTTTATTAAATTTTTGTTCATCAAAATTGCATGGTATACTACTTGCGATACAAAATAAGATAATGTTCGTTATACCTATCCGCTTAGTATGCCTATACAGGCTTTGTTTGCTATTCTGTAAAAATACAATGTCGAATGCAGCGCCGGAGATAGCGCTGTACACACAATATTCAAGGATTAATTAAATATAATCTTTACTATCTCGAGCTCCTTCGTGCTTCGGAAGGCACGTTACAACTTTGGTCCTGGGTGCATCTGCAGTCGTTAGTGTCCATCAATCTGAATTGGATGAGCCCGCTTGGTTGGTTATGGCCTATTGTTTTCGTTCTAATAGATCTGAGCATATCCTGAATTGAAACAAATTATCCATATATTTTATTCAAAATAATCTATAGGGATTACGTTTCCGAAATCTAGACATTTTCTTGCCGCTCCGTTTCTCGACGTGTCTAGCTTTGCAGTGCACTACCACCCTAGGCATTGAATTGCACGTCAGTTCTTGACAACTGCAAAATAAGACAATGACTTCGAATCAGTACCGCGTCGGCCTCCGAGCGGAGCGTGTGTGTGACCGTTTGACCGCCAACGTGACCGCCTGAACGCCGCCGTGACCGACGCGACCGTCACCCCTTCTCACATCTGGTAAGAGTAAGCTTTTGGATTTTGAGATTTAATATTATTTCGTGAGTGTTCAATTTTCATGAAATATTTTTATTGTATGCAAAATATTCGATGTTATTAATTATGAAACGCAAATTGGAAATTTTGCGAGAGTTGCCGTTTCGTTTGTTTATAACATACGTATTCAAACAATATGTAACTTTATCCCATGTAAAATAAATGTGAGATTAAATTAAAGAATATCCTTTAAGTATCGAGTACTTAGACCTTTTAACTAAACAAAAATGTTGTTGATACTTTAAAGTTTTTCAGTTGTAATATAATCTTCGTTGTATATAATACCTCTCTATATTAAGTTTACTTACATTTTTTAAGTAAAAAAGTAAATTATAATGTGACTCAAGTTTTCAGTTGCGTAAATAACCGTTATCTTAGATATTTACAGTATTGAAAATACTGTTTAACAGGGTCAAAACTAACTAAAGTCCAATGTGTGCCAAAGGAATTTATGGTGCTGATATCGGAGTTAGTTAAGGATCTGGCATACATACCATAAAATCCATAATTTTTTCTTTTATAAAGTCAACAGTTTGCATAAGTTTGATCAGATTTTTTAATACAATATATCGCAATTCATTTAAGCGAATAAAATGTACAGAATTTTCAGAATACCCAAACACCTTTTACTCTAAGAGTTTACTCTGAAGAGTATCTACAGAGGCAAAAATTAGGTCTAGTAAATGTTTATTAAGAAGTGTAATAATATTTATATATTTAACGTATATTATTATTATAAATAATATTTATATAATATGTAATAATAATATACGTTAAATTATTTATATAATACTTTGGAATTACACTGTACTCTCACTCCACATTCACTTTGATTTTATGCTAGCGGACGACTAGGGTACAGCTGAAAATCAGTGTCTGTTTCATATATGGAAAACCCAACACTGAGCTGTATACCTATTGAGCTACTGCTTCACACTCTAGTACGGTGGTACAAATCGTTGTCTATTGTAATTTTTAATGTTTCTATACACCAACTAAGTATTTTACAACAACTTATAATGTAGTGATAGTAGTGGTTCAATAAAACATTTATCTATCTATCTAAGAGGTCGCGATAAAAATGTCCAAGAGCTTTCGAAATCTTGATATTTGAATGTATTGAACTACAAAATTATACATTACCCAGTACTTACTTTTTCGCTAACTTTAAAGTACCCTTAATATGTGTTACGGTATTCCTAATGAAAAATACTTAAAATATCCACTTGGTCCCTGGCACCCTGAGATGGGATTCATTCAGTATATCATTGTGAATGCGAAATTGTACAAATATAATAATGTGTTCCGATTTGTCTGACTTTACATTACTCCACCGCCACCAGTGTTCCAGCACCTGACTTTCACTGCTGACTGAGTCATACATGTCGATGTACTTAACATTAACATACTGAAAACTTAAGCTTTTGAAAGCTCTCGCACTTTTTTGTCATAATCCGTCTATTAGGATTGTTCTTGTCTTACGACACTAACATACACTATGAGAGTCGTTTCAATGTCACTACATTCCAAAATCAGTATTCATCTAAAACTAGCTGACCCAGTGAACTTTGAACCACCCAATATCATTATTAAAAACACATCCATACTAACAAATATTTTATATACTGCCTTTATACTGTATTTCAGTCAATATTTATTTCAAGTTATCACAATATTTGAGCAAAATAACATATCATATATAAAATGCAATAGATATTTATATAATAAAAAATATAACTTTATATATCAACGTGAAAAATAATTGTATTGTTTTTAGTTTTGATTGCGTACTAAATAAGTATAATTTTAACTATTTTGTCACGTGATCTGCACTAGTATGTTGAAATAATATATTCGTATATCTCAATTTCATACATAATACAAACGAATAATTAACATATTTTCTAAAAAAATAGACTTTACTTTGTTTTCCTACACTATACTTTTAACCTTTAAATAAAAATCTTTGTATGTACTAGTTGAACTTAACGATAAATTTAACTAATACTTGTTACTTCTTTTAAAACATTATGTAGTCTGCATCAAGCTTTATGAGTAAACATTGAGGGATTCATTGTAGTGATTTTGTAGCCGTAAACAAATTATACATATCTCGGTTGTTTAATGGATAGCTTTTCAAATATGGCTAGCAATTATTACCAATACAGTTCTGCCATAGTCGTCTAGGTCTTACTCATGTACCTTCAATAGGTACAAGCACTGGACCACGCCAACTTACCAGTGCCTACTTTCGCTTGGTAGGCTTTGGCGGGGTCAGTCAATTCAACAAAATACAAATTTCACATGTAAGGATCTAATGAAAGCAAAAGTCGAAAAGAAAATAACTATAATACAAGCAAAATAATATAATACTAAAGATTTTCAACATATTGTCATGTTTTTTCAAACGTATTTACAACGCTGCGTTCAACGTAAGTAATTATTACAGTGAGTGAATCTTGTAACATTCCTTTAGAATAAATAATGCTGCGAAGTGGAACAATTATCGTCCGGAATCCAGATTTTGTTTTATAACTATGAACCTAGAGACAACAGTTGCTTACATGAAGAACAAGTTAAAACCTGTTCTTTTCATCGACCACATGACTTACGAGGATAAATATTTGCCTGTCTTTTTGAAGTCTATTTGCAATTCTATACATTAATATATAGATTTACATAATTTACGATCGAGAAATTAGCCTTCCATTCTGTCACCGTGTGTAACAGTAATGTTTACAAATGTGAAGTAACGTGAGCCCAGCAGCATCAATGTATCAGCTATTGTTGTAATATAAATATAAGAACAAAGCCGCGATGTATCATCGATGGTTTGTTCCATGGTGTTTCAGGCCGTGGTGAATCGCTATAATCTAATGAAAACACATATCGCTACATAATTTCCGAGGTCGCCGGCAACAATGGGCACGCGCACACCTAGGGCTGTCACTATTCATATAAATAACATAGGTCTATTTAGTCATTATTCTAAATGTAATAGTTCAGAGAACAAAATACACTTACGATAGGGCTGATTATAGGATAGGTAGCCAAAAATGTATTATCTCGAACACCTCCATGCTTTGGAGTCGGGCTGCATCTGAAATCGTCAACACGATCTACTGTGGGCCCACTAAGTGTGTTCCAGCCGGTCTCTCTATTTGATTCCAATCATAGAATGATAAGAATATCTGTGCCTTGAATCGGGGACATTCAATAGACTGTGGAAAGAGTAAAGTATAATTTATTTGCTAGAAATGCGGTTTACAATAAAGATATTATCGGAAACGATAGTCCAGGCACATTTCGCTATAAATAGCATGCTAAAATTTTGAAAATAATATTAAAGTTGATAATTATTTAATTAATATTCATACAAACATAATATGTAACAATAAGCCAGTCCATCAGATATCATTGAAATAAGAAATAATTAACCAAAATGTCAAATTTTATGTCTCTTGTCCAAATATTCATTAATACAATAAAAACACTCGCTGTAGCCATTAGTGCAGTTCTCGCTTAAATGTCGACGGCGGCAATTTCTTAAAATTTTCAGGTATATTATTATAGTTGTTTAAGATACGAGTGCGGAAAATAAGGTTTTACGAATAAGGGCCAAATTGAAAACACGAGCGTAACGAGGGTTTTCATTGGCACGAATTCGAAAAACCTTTTACGCTTAAGTTTCTTACAACATTTTTCAATGCTTTTTGCGAGGAAATAAACAAATATATAGGTTAATAAAAAAATTAAACGTGATATTTGAACATGTTTTCGTGTCATACATTTTTATTTGAAAATATTCGTTCTAGGCTCCTTGAAATACTTTTGCCTCTAAAGTTTGACATATTTTCATCTATTTTTTTTAAATTTATTTGGTGCTCGGCCAAAAAAAATTAATGAAATACTTTTAAGCACGTGTGCGGTAAAGGATTTCAGTACATTTTTATTTAACACTCACTCACTCGTTTAAAGACTCACTTTCGGTGTTTACAATAGATTAAAAAAATAGCGCTTTATGAGTAACTGCATTAAAAATTATTTTTACGCACATAGCATATGAGTTTCTTTTGCATATTTCAGTTCGGTAGCACCAGCAGTAGCAATAACTCTAGTATTGTTTCTTATTTTATGCTTAGACACATAAAAGTCATCATCAATAGTTTCTAAGGAAATCAAACCTGATGCCGTTGAGTTGTTCTGTTGTGTATCTGGATAGCAACCCTACCGATATTGGCTATTGTTGTCAGAACACACCTTGTTGTTGTCACAACAATTTGTTGAAATCTGGACGCTCCAACTGAACGGTATCATATTGATGAATGACTTCGTAATCGCTTCCAATATGGGATACGTATCCAACAGGAACAATGTCTATTACACTTGTATCTTATATTTTAAAATTAAATAAAATTACTTTTAAACGGATATACAACACGCACGTGTATATTTGATTTCATTATTAGACGTTTTGGATCCTTTACAGGTTCCGTGGTAGTAAGTAGTGTCAACTGATGTATCCAATATCTAATAGTGTTAGAGGTCGGTTAACTATGCTTTTAATTATAAAAAGAAAACAAGACTAACACCCAGTTTCTGATTTGAGAACTTAAGGTAACATGTCACACTGTACATACTATACTTAAACGACACTTAAAGGATTGCGAAAGGTCATGGGTTCAAGTCCCATCTCAGAGTGCCAGGGACTAGGTGGATTTTAAGCATTTTCATTAAGAATACTAATATGACAAGTTACTACAGTTTAAACATGAAAAAGTAACCAGTGCATTAATTACATTCTAATATTGTTGTTCGTTAATGTGTCGTATATATGGATTCTTTTCTCTTTTTTAACCTACTGACATTGAGTAGGTACAATGATTATTGATATTGAAATAAGCAAATAGGTTTTTTTGACACCAATATGTAAATACAGAAAAAAGAATGTGTGGCTTTGCTTA